TGTGTGTGTGTGTGTGTGTGTGTGTGAGAGAGAGAGAGAGAGAGCTTCGACCTCGTCGGGATTTTTCGTCGACGTTGGAAAGCCTTGATTTCATCATATTAGTACTGGTGTTGTATTGGGAAAAGTCGGTTATTTATTTAAAATGTCGATCAGTTTGGCGCCTGATTTACGTGTTAGCTCGATGATGGAATTTCAGTGACTTTTATTTCTTGGCCATCTCGTATGTGATCTCGTTTTTGTCTCAATACGAAGGTACGAAGACGCTCATGGCTTTTTCTCATATGGTCAGCTCAGATTCATACCATAATTTTTCGTACAAGTATACTATTTATGGTTTGAAGTATTTATATATTCATGAGGAAATTCGATTTAAATTTTAAGATATACATTCATTCATCTTCATTTTCCTATACTTGTTACTGTATTAGTGCAAACAAAAAATTGCTACAGAAGATCAATGTAATATTTTAGGCGAACTAGACACTACTTTGGTAAATCTGCAAATCAACGTTGATAAGGTGATTGGAATAATACAAGGTATGCTTATGATTTAATATTTTTTTGTTTCCTTTAATTCGTTCATGCTTCTGCCGCTAATGCATATTTCATTTGAGAATATCAATGATTTTATTATACGTTTGAACGATGGAATTTTCCAAAATGCTAATTCCACGTGATAATAGTTCGTAAATAGATTTAACTGATACGAAATATAGTAACCGTCATTTTGAATTCTTTTCTATCTCTCTCTCTCTCTTCTTTCCTCTCTCCCTCTCCCTTCCAGTTTCTTTCTCTCTTTCTCTCTCGCCTACTTCTTTCATAGCTAATATCATAACATCCAAATGCAAACATTAGTTAAGCCTAATTTGCTACGAATATTTTTTTAATTTGAAAATTACAAACATGAAAAAGTCAATGTTTTGCTAATGACCGCAAGTCATATGATGGTCTGTGACTGTTTTAATTTGTTTATTCGTTAAATTTCAAGACAAAAATTTATGTAAACATTGTTGCACAAATCCTTTTAAAAAATACATAAATAATGAAAAACCATTTTAGAAATTAATCAAATTTTAAATCTGCGTTAATCAATGTTATGATAATAAATTTACATCTCATTCTCATCTCTCAGTCCCTGAAAACATTCGACTCTTGACTCTCCTACTTCTCATTTTCTCCCTCCCTCCCTATCTTTCTCTCATTCTCTCTCTCGCTCCTTTTCCTATACCGTCAGGCAATGTAGCCTTAACTAGCTTGACTCTCCTTTGTTTAACTGACGAAAAATTCTCAACTGTATACTAACCTCGCCTACTTTTCTCGTACACGACTATCATATACATTCATGTTTTGTCGCGATTAATAGCTACTATGATTTAATCGAATACTGGATTTTATAAATTTATGATAAAAGCTAGGTATTTTTGCCTGACAACTGGACTTCATTTTATCTCTAACTTTCCATCCATTTTTCAAGACATTTTTTTCTATATTTTTTTATTATTATAAAAGCAAACATTGATTTTATTTTTAGTACTGATTTAAATTATGTTCATTATGGACTGATTATAACTTGACAGTTTTGTAATTTTAACTTTAAAAGACATAATTTTAGGCGAAAATTGTATTACTGCGTTTAAATAATTAAACATTATAATTATAATTGTATTTTTAACCATATTATTGTATTTCTATGATCTCAGCAGTATGCAATACAATTTTCAAATCAACATTTCAATTTTTTTGAAAGTTCCTAAGGAATTGTTGACCATATGATATTGTTTGAAACAATACATTAAAATTCTTGTATTTTCTGAACTTTTTTTAATGGAATTTTTATATAAGTTTATTTTTTATAACTATTTAATTTTAAATTTATTAAAATAATTTACTGAAAATGATGGTTAATGTAAAAAAATTCATGGATTTTGCAACGACTGCAGGAACAGTTTTTATGAAATTCTTTTGAAAGATAAGTCTAAAAAATTGTACATTTTCGGCGTAGCATTGGAAATATTAGAACATATAAACACATTTTTGTTATTAAGATGATTTTTAATTTTTGTTTAAAATATTTTTAAGAAGCACTATAATTTTCTCAAGCGTTATAACTCATTGAAGATGATATTTCTATTAATTTATTATTTATTGATAACAAATAATTTTAATTTTATATATGTGACTATCTATATCACTATTTATTTGATTGCATCGTTAAAATTAATTTATTGAAAATTAATATTTTCATAAAATAATAAATACATAATTCACAGTAGATTTATTTTGATTATTTATTGTTAACATTGACTTTTAAGACGGCGTAATTCTTATATATTGATTACATATTCAAAAAATATTCTGCTTATTATAAATAATTTTATGATTTTTAAATGACTGTAGAATAGCTTCAATTTCTTATTATAAAAAATATAATGACCTAACGATTATTTGGAGTAATAAGTTACCAACAATAAAAAAGGAGAAAAGTTGTACTGTTATACAATCAGTAATTTGATAACTAAAATGTTACGTAAAATATAAAATTATTTCCATTTTATAATAACCATAGTTTTATTTACGTGTTTTACATTTTTAGTATATATAATATTGTAATAGCTTCAATAACAAATCTATAATATAGTAATGTAATAAATAAATTCATACTTAATACTTTTATATTTTTTATCATAAAGTATTATATACAAATAATAATATTTATATGAATCGTAAAATAAATAAAAAATTTTATTTTATTTGTACCTGTACAAAAATTTACAGTACTAAGGTAATCATTTTGTTACAATACAAATTACAAAAAATATATTCTACGTAATGTTAAAAAGTACCAATGAAAGTTAATGTAATGACGCAATGTTGTAAAAACTAATTTTTATACATTTAAAATATTGAAACTCAATTGTCATACAAAATCTAAATATCTGTTATTCTTGAATTTTTTACATATTAAATGAATAAATATTATTCGATGGTAACTTGTTTTTTGACTAAACTATTGACATATTCAACAATTCTTAACAACCGTGTCATATTAAGTTTTTAGGAATATTTTATGAAAACATATATTTTTTCTTTAATTACATAAGATAATCTAAAATGCAAGTACTTCTTAAAATTAATAAAAAATTTTATAATAATTTAATATGCGTTGTTTTGCATCGACTAATTGTATTTATTTTAAATATATTATATCGGCATCGTTTGATAAAAAGAAATTAAATAAATGTTTAACTTTAATACTGTATGAAATAGTAAAGTAAAATCTTAGAATAATCTAAGTTTTTTAGATTTCTAAATATGATTTTTATATATCCATGAAGTACAAGTTGAATCAAACTTCATTGAGAAGATATAATATATTGCTATTCAAAATAATAAAAAATGTCAATAGAAGTTCCAAATTTGAAACTACATAAAAGCTTTTCGAGTTTCTTCTATAAGTGGTACAATATAGATTTCGTAACATATTTTTTTTGGAAATGAGCATATACATTTTAATTCTATAAATGAAATAATCAATATATAATTTTTATTCATTTTTTTATATTAATTTTATATCTATAATTAGTTTGACACAAAGTCGAGCCAAATATTTTCTTAATTAATGAAAATGTACGAAAATGGAGAATAATAAATATGTATTTGTTTATATAATTATATGTTGCATTTAATTAAAAGTTAGCTATTAGATTAATTTATACTTAAGTTTAGTTAATTAATTTCTGACTTTGTACAGTTTCAATGTTAAGAACTAAAAATATATTTAATGACAATAAATATTCAAACATTCAAAAATTTTTTATGATTATTTAATAATTATTTAATATGATAATTAATATCAGAACAAAAAGTATATAGATTTAAATATTTATTTAAAAAATATTGTATTTGGTCTGAGTTAATTTTGTATTACCAAACATAAATTTACACCAATTCATTACTTATTGTTTTCAAAAAACGATGTATTTTTGAAAAATTAAAAGAAAAAATAATTTAAAATGTAAATTTTATAAATGACAGAAAGCGAGTCTAGTTTTCAACTTTATATGATCCGTAGAAACTGATTGCAAACGAAAATTTAAAAGAAAAATGTTAATTTTATAAGACAAGCAATTAATTGTCAAAACAATAGGTGTATCATATTACTAGATGGTTTCATTTACTAAAGTTTTTCATTATTCAACAAAAAGAAGTAAGGTAATGAACATCGTTCCGAAGAATTCGCGAAAACAGATCCGAAGTCACAATAAAAAAAATATACAAAATGCTGCAGACTTGCTCTTCGGAAACTGGGGCGCATCAAGAGGTTATAATGCACATGGATTGCAAGGCCACTTTGAACCAATTTTTACTCGAAACATGAAATCGATGTGCTCTACAGGCTGTTCTCGCTTTATGGCGATGGGGATTCGCGTTTCCTGTCACGTCACCAAACCACCACAGCTATTACAGTATACTTTCACTTCCCACAAGACCCGCTTTCGCGCACGCGCACGCGATCTTTATTTTTTCATTATATAGACTTGCTACCATTGCAAACTGTTGGCTGCTTATTTTACTTAATATTTTGAAATCAATTATTGAATTCTATCTGGGTTCTTAAGTACTACAGTTGATTTGAATTTCGAATTTTTAATTCTCAGTTCATTTTTATGAATTTACATATCCTATTATTAGGTGAAGCATAGTAAAGATTGACCCTAGTATTTCGATAGATATTCGTCATATAATGTTTATATTATACAGTATCAGAAAAATACAAGAAACCTTTATTTAATTTTGTAGGATCGATAGGATAAGATCAGAAATTGCGTATATGATTATATGAAATATTTTTGTTATTCAATAATACTACACGATAAGTGAAATAATAACTTCCGTATAAATTACAGAATTACTTTTTTATTTATCTTTTTTTGTAATAATTTTGATGTATTGTGAACAAATTCAATGTTCTTCAATTATGAAATTATTTTAAAGAAATCGTAAGACAATTATTTTTTCATAAATAATTCAATTTTATCTAATCAAGGCATTAGATTATTCTTTATTATTTGTGTGCGAATAATCATGTGATTTTGTACTTTAGCTTGCGAGAAATTTTCTTTTAAGAAACTATTAATATTCCTACAAAATATAAATATGTGTAGTTGTTAAAGAATTAAAATGTTTCATTGAACGGTTTCCAATTACAAAATCGATTCACGCAATCTATTATTTAAAAACGCTAGCATCGTTTAATCGTGTAATACAGCAGATGATGAATTACTTCATATTTTACTGTCTCTATCATCTGACATCCTGCGTCATAGAAGACGTAAGGGGAATGATTGGCGAGTGCGATACTGTCAGATTGAAAATTCGAAAGAGTTCTTTACTATTCAATTATGATTTTAATGTCATTTCGGCAAGTTCATAACACAGTACAGTACAAGGGGCTTTTTCTTCAATTTTAAGGTTTGGTTTTCAATAGCTAAACATGTTCCTAAATGTTCTTAAATTTTGTACATAATAATAATTAT